GCCAGCAGATACTAGTCATGAATTAATATGAAATCTGCAGGGATACTTTTCAAAGGACTTATTAGGATTAACTTATTACAAATACATAATAAAACACAAAACACAGAAGGCCTTAAACCTACAAATTGTTTTTTAAAGAAAATTTAGTCAAACTTGTCCAGAGCAATTTGTGAAGGAAAACCATGTAACACAGATTTCAAAACTTCAAAAATATGATTAAACAAAGAAGAACAACTAGACCTTTGCTATTTTCTACAAACTCATGCACACGAATTCTTCAGCTACTTAATAATTTCTTAATACCAACATTTTCATCAGAAAAAAGATTTTTCACCTCTCAAGAAAATAAACCTAAACATAGACATTAACAAATTTAAAAAATGTATTGTAATTACTTTTCATGAAATACAGTAATTTATTAGTAGCACTAAGGCACCTTTATTGATACAACTGTTCTCTGGATACAATATTATTAATTATCAAAATATTATCTTGCATACATCATAAAAGCATGTTGAAACCAAAATTTCGAAATAAGGTGCATATGGAGTTTACTTGAAAATCCTGGGCGGTTTTGCTCTAGTCACTCGTTACATTTTATGATGTATATAAAATGAAATCATTTTAATACCTGAACATAAACAGTACAGTTGTAAAGATAAAGTGGACAATGAATAATAGGTAAGTAACGAATACTCTGCATGATGTAGTGAAATGCATATTCTTGATCAATTACATATAGAAATATTGTAATAAAACAATTTCATTTAAAAAAATGCCAAATATCGCATTGTGGAAAACCATTTTTTTTATTTTGAATTTTACTTTAATTTTCTATTGTTTTGAGTCAAATTTATTATTAATTCTTATGTTTAAGAAAAATGAAGATTAATTAGTAGGCAGCATTCATAACCTTTGAATTGAAATTATGAAACACCAATTTCTTTTAAAATCACTAAATTATACTTAAATTAACTTAACCTGGAAATCAAAGAATAAAAATATTGCATCAAAACAGACATTGAATTTGTAAAAAGGTCAACTTCAATAAAAAATATGACTTAATTACTTATTTCTTGATTAATGTTGCACATACTTATTAATACAAATGCTTTGTTAATGATGCATTCAAAAAATTTGTGGGAAATGTATATTTATATTTCAGAACATTGTAATTATAGCTCAGTTTCAAAGTCTGAACTCGTTTCTACCGATTATCATAAACTTAATAATTTTAATATTATAGTCATAGAATTAAGAAAATTTTCTTTTTTTATTTTTATGCAAAAGAATAAACAGGGGAATTCAGGGAATAAACAAGAAATATTGATATGAAAAGTATTGTTTTCAAATAATTTTCACCTACTGGTTTTTAGTTGTATAAAAGAAATAGCCCTCAATGCATTTGTTATTGACTATACAGGATCTTTAGCTAAACTACCAACCCACATCTTAGAGCACTTGTTCTTGTTTTGGCAATTTGGCTACCGCATGTTTTTGCCACCTTTCAAGACAGTCGTGCCTTGCATATTGAGGCAGCAGAGGAGGCAACCATCAGGTCATAAGCTGTAGCACCTTTCTGTCTTGTGTTTTTCCAATTCAAGAGCTCAGGTAGACAGGTATGGGGCTCTAACGTCGGAACCTTTTTGCGCTGCAGAGAGTGGGTGGGGAGGGGAGAGGTGAGCAGACTTCAGCAACAAACAAAACGTCTCTTTACTCTATTTACTCTTTTAACTCTATTCAGTGTAGGGGCTGCAGTACATTGAAGACTAACAAGGACAGAATAAGTGCTTCCTCTTTTTTCCAACTAAAATTAGCCTCACTTTTCACTCCGAAATCTGAGAGCAAGCAGCTGTGGGTCGCTAAAAGTGATAGGAATGCCGAAGGTTTTCCATGCATTGGCAAAACCTGAGGTGGTGTTTCCTGACACGGGTTGTGAGTTAAGCTCAAAACCCTGAATGCTGACTCCATGGTGCATAAAAGGTGATGAAACCATACAAAAGGACAAGTTGTATTTTATTCTACAGTTAGAATATTAGTAAAATAAAAGTGCTTTGGCCTTCAAGACTGATAAAAAAGGTGATCTGATTTGAGAATATGTAAATAAAAATGATATTAACAGGATTCTTCAAAATCCTAACAGCTCTATTACTCAGCCAGAAAATAAATGACAAGCTGGAGCACCTGAATCATTTCTAAGTCAGGAACAAACAGTACAAGACTTGGTTAAGGATGGTGGAAATGCTTAAGAAAATACTCGGAACTTAAAAAAAAAAAAAAAAAATATTGAGAAGCAAGATGACAATTTGGGAAACAGTTTCTGGAAAATGTTGGATTCCTGAAAATTCTCACAAAAAAACATATTTTGAGATCTGCAGTTCTGAAAGGTCTAGAATCAATATTTGTAATAGGGATCAATCTCTTGCTCCTTTGACAATCTCAAGACCCATCATTATCAAGTATGGACAAACTCAAACATGTTAATTTACTTCAATATTATCTAGAAAGAGATGTTACATTATTTTTAATTGAAGTGAAGTTGTTTCTGTGTAAAAAAGATGAGTTGTTTGTCAAGGATGTTCAACATGACCTGCATTATTAAAAAAATGTCACCAGGCAATCAGGCTGTGTTCAATGTTGAAAATTGGGTGCATCTTTGATTAAAACACCTGATTCTTCATTCAAGGCTGAATGTACCTTGTACCTTGATTGTACCTTGCTTCAACTGGAAACATACCAAGAAACAGCACGATACAGAAATGATGAAATAATGTACATCATACTGCCACATATCTAAATTTTATGAATCTTCCCAATCCAGGCAAGCAACCAGATTTACCGCAGACAGTGATTGATATATGATAATCTTTCGTTCAATCAGCATTACAAAACTTGTATCTTTCTTTCACAAATCTCTTTATCAAACTACTTTAGAGCAATACATCGAGGCCAATTCCTATGAAGTTTAAAGATCCACTTGACAATAACAACTGTTTATTTTTTTGTCATTCAATTATATCTTTACAATGTTCAACAATATTCTTTTCCACATCAACAATGCCAAAAAGCTTGTTCAGCTTCAAACACTCCTGATTTGATTTTATCAATAATAAATTTTCCACAAAATCTACAAATTGTAAAGGTAACATTGAAAAACAACAATATCTAGAGGACATTTTAAAGTTCATATCTTACTTTATCAGCTCAAATATTTTTTAAAAATATTTTACGAAGCCTTACGAAAATTTAACATTTACCTAAAATTATATTTTCTAATTATCAGAGTAAATAAAATATTGCACAGCAACAATTTAACAAACCAATTTAGTTCCATTTTTATTTTAATGTAATTGAGTATAAAAATTAAATGTAACAATTATTCATGAATTCAATAGCTAATTTCAATTTCCATCAAGACATCCCCTTCATCTTGGAAATAATTTAAATACAGGTGCCAGAAATACTGAAGGCTTTGTAAAACATAATAGAACCTGGAAATTCCACATTAATGTCTATAAGCAGTATGATCTTATGTGAGCGAACAGCTGAATGAATTTGAAACAACAGTTATCAAACTATTTCTAAGCTATCACAAAGTGTAGGAAACACAGACAAGACACCAGGGGAAAGGTGAAATTCTATTTTTCTTTTCTGTACTTACCAATATTACATGCCCAATAAAAGAAAAACTGTAAAAGTGTTGCAGAATAAACAATTCAGTAAGTGAAGAAGACCAGTATATTTCATCATGTGACTTACAAATACTTAAAAAAATCAGTAACATTATGTCAGATCATGGGAACTTCTTATAGAAAAATACATCTTTTATTTTTGTGATTTTTTAACATTAATATTTTGAAGCACACACCAATTAAAAATAATAGAGTATTTTTGGGTCATCTAACAGTCAATTCATAAGATCACAGTTTACAACATAAATCTGTCATGGAATTTTTTCCCTGGAAAATATTCTCAGTGAGAGAGAAACAATCCATAAAAGTATGACAAAGTTCCTCTACGTACATATAAAATAAACATTTATATAAAAAAATATATACTTTTCAGTAAAAAACTGTTGTAAAACAAATCTATTTATCAATGCTGCCATTCCATTTTAAATTAAAATGAATATGACCATCTCAAGATCTCTCATACACATACCTACTTTGGTGTCTATTATATTATTTAAAATAATAATTAATATTTCAAATATATATCTATTCACTTTTATAATATTCACTAACAATATTAAAATGAAATTGAAAAAACATGTACGGAGTTTAATTGCTTGAGAATAACAAATTACCTACATCGGAACAAAACATGATCTAAAACCTAAAAAATCTTCAAAACACCGAAACAATGTATTCTGTTTTGTTTTTTCCAAGTTGCATTTCTTCTTCAAATAATGAAACAACAAAAATACATATCTACAATTTGCGAGTCATGAATATTATTAGCATACTATACTAGTCAAAAAGGACTATAATATACCAAATAGATGATTTTTCATCAAAATTCAGAATCTTTTCGGACAAATATTTATTTAAACATTTTCCAAAAATTATTACCATTAATTCATGATGTATACTTGCCATATTTATTTCGTTAAGTGAAGTAATTCCTTAAAACTGAAGGCAAGTTGATTCTAGAACAACTTATCATTTACGAAGTTTTATTTCAACTACATTATTTCCGTAAAAGATGCCATAATTATTTGTTCTTTCAATCATACATTTCTTGGATTATGACTCTGAGAAACATTAATAAAAATGATACAAATGAATATATATTTGACTTTTTAATTGTTGACAATAAATGAGCAATTCTTTCAGAATTTGAAAATAACATTGAAGATTTACAAGATCAGGCAAGGACTGATATTTGTAAATCACATGATGACACCAGAAACGCCTCTAAAGAGAGTTACAAAATCATTCTTCAATTCTGTCATTCACACCTCGGAGACAATTGCAAACAATTTGGCATCATCAATTTACCTGGGGCTTGAGGAGTTGGTCCACCAGTTGGCTGTTGGGCAATTGGTTGGCCGTAACCTCCTGGCTGATATCCTCCTGGTGGAGGGTAGCCAGGCTGGTAGCCAGGTTGCCCCTGTGGAGGCTGGTAGCCAGGTTGCCCCTGAGGAGGCTGGTAGCCAGGTTGGCCTGGAGGATAGCCTGGCTGGCCAGGAGGGTACCCTGGCTGGCCAGGGGCATATCCAGGCTGACTACCAGGAGGTGCATAACCTGGACCAGGTTGGAAGCTGGTGGGGGGTGGGTATCCCCCTTGAGGTGGGGGGTACACACCTGGAGGACCTAAAAGGAAAAAAATATGATTAAACAAGAATAACAACATATGGTTGATATACACATTCATAAAATGCCTAACAATTCTAGGGAGACAAGAATTCAGGAAAGAACACTACTAACAATTAAATTTTTAATTTAAGTACCATTAGCTGATATAACTTGAAGTTGCCCAGAGATTAATGATAAAATGATAAAATATCACAACCACCTATTGGATTGAAAATTGGAATTACAGTATAATATGTAATTAATTTTATTAACATCCTATACTCTCTCTCTGCTCCATCTTGCCCAAACTCTCATCAGAACTAATTTTCAATTTCGACCAACTGAAAGCCTTATAGCACTAGCAGAATAAATTAATCTGAATTCAGTAGGGCATTTTATGGGCTTTCAGGAAATCAATTTCAATGCTTTTCTCACCGTTTTCAAGATATTTGAGGAAAAAGGGATAAGAGAACTATTTAAGAGGAAGGAAAAAGGGAGGAGTGCAGTTTTTTTCGATAGTTCATTCAGGAAGTGGCTGACCTCTATTTGGAAAGTAAAGTGTGAACATTTATATTAGTTTCAGATTATCAATTGAAAAGTTTTTGCATGTCACACACTCATACATTAGCTTTTATAGACAGATTGGAAGTAATGTAATGAAATAAATTGCTTGCCCTAAGGATAATCATTGAATATAATGAATTTTTAGATGAATTGAGAGTTCAGAAAGCAACAATACACATGTAACTGAATGTACTCCTTTAACTCTGCAACTGGAAGTATGTCAGCAGAGAAAACGTTCTAGTAAAATGAAGAAAGGGCGAGAATGAATAAAAAGAAAAGAAAAGAAACTTTAGAAGATGAATAAATTGAATAAGATGTCTGAAAAAATGTAATTTTTTTATTATGATAACTATAAAGTTCATTTACCCATCAAAAAGAGTGCTGGGAATTTTGACAACTATATAAAGCTGAAATACATCTTTGTGATCACCTTCCTTCACTGATGAATGAGTGAAACAAAGAAGGAATTGAAAATACGAAAGGTAGAAGAATTTGACAGAAGATGTTCAACAGTGCCTGCCACACTATAGTAAAAAAATTACTTCACCCTTATGACAATGAGGTGAAGATATTCAATTACACAAAACTCCAAAAGATAAAGTTTTATCCAGTCATAACTGGTCCATCGCCATAATGAAAATAATCAGAGTTTTAAACCTTCTGTTTTCAGTCTAATTCTATATTCAATTGATTTACAGCATTTAAGTACATTTATAAGCAAAGAAATTTAGGAAGCACTAAGGTAAGTTTTTATGGAAATCTAATAATGGAATATAACATGACACTTCACAATCATTGAGAATTATTTACAATTCTTCATATTGAAATGTAACTCATTGTTAAAACAATTGGATGAGACTGACTTAATACTTTTATTGTCCAATTCTCAATATCTAAGTTTTTATTTCATTTTCCACAAGTAAAATTTATCAGCTTGTGACATCCCTTTAATGCTGGTAAGTGTACAGTCCACCTGCTATTGACTCACACTCCTCCAAAACTACTAATCATTAATTTTGCCAACCGAACAGCAGGTAGAATTATAATTATTATTGAGGCATTGAATAGGATATTGTGTTATTGTAGCACTTGGTGGTTCATTGGCTAGTGTGCTTGCTTTCCGCAGCGCAACCCTTGGTTCGACTCCCGGGCGGGGCAAAACTATAACTGTGCGCTTTCCTTACAAGTGTCCCAGTATCGATTTATATGTGATGATGAGAAAGCCCATTCTAAGGTTATGAAGACCAGGATGTACAGCGAAGGGATGTCTTCATGCTTAAAGCCTCAAAGCCCTTATCCCATGGCAGAGTGGCTGGGTTCCCACTGGTTGGCCAAGCTCTATAGTGGGCTGTCAACCCAAAGGACAGGATATTGTGTTATTATCAGAGGTAAATGGGGAATATTATTTTAGACTCAGACTTATTTTAAATTACTGGCATCCAGCTAGTAATCAACAGCTTCAATAATCAAGAATTAAGAAGACCCAAAAGCAAAACATTGATTGTCAATATTAAAAAAAAATTGACATTTCATAAATAGTCCATATATTTCATTAAAATGTTTTCTGCAAAACAGAGTAAAAGAAATTTATTTTTCAATTTCTTGTAATTACTATGATACAATAAATAAAAAATATCACAGTGCACTGTGAAAGTGCCACTTCAAAGAAGTCAAGTTAAAAGGTGATATGTCAGCAATGGAATCGTGAATAAAATAATAACAAACAACACAATGAATCACAAAATCTGTGGAAGTGAACATGCAACAAGAGAATAACAAGAAAAGATGTTCAAAAGTATGAGCAGATGAGAAAGTAATAATTAGGTGCAAATAAGAAATCACAAAATGGCTTTTAAATTGAATTCAAACAAGCTAAGAAATGCCTCGGTAACCTGTCAAAGTAGACTGCAGCTCACCATTTGAGATAGTATATGCCACACCTACACAAAGAGTTAGGAAAGTCATTTTTTAAAAGTCTCTATTAACAAATATCGGAGATTAAAAACCTTCATTCCAAGAATTCTAATAATGACACATCATAATTCAATAATATAAACTATTAAATTTTATTGCTGATTTATTTAGGCCTTTCCTTGAGAACATCACAAAAAAACAACAAAAAAGCATTCAAACACTCCTAAATAACAGTTGTTTTTGTTTTAATTAAAATTTACGGTCAGAAAGGTTCTACACACATTCAATACAAGAAATAATTGTAACATTATACCACAGAAAAATATGTCAATTTAAATCCAGGGTAAATCATAACTTATTTAGAATTGCTCAGGATTATATAATTACTGTAGACATCATATGAGTAGTTGAATAAGAATAGATGATTACAATATTTTCCCTACAGCTAAGTACACTACAAAAACGATTACTCAGAAATTAAAAATAATTTTCAATTTTGTTCTTATTCTGTATTCTTGGTGGTATAGAGAAAGCTGTAGATTTATTCCCTACAACATGGTTTGCATTATATACCACACCACATTTCCAAGGTAATTTACAGTGTGTGTACACTCTTACACAGATTGGATGAATTTAGAGAAAATTTAGGGGAGGAAGGGAGATTTTTATAATATTCAAATAAACAAATATATTTTCAACTAAATTTACAGTACCAAAATGTTTACGTAATTCTTTTAATTTTAATTTACACACAGTTTGAAAATCATAAATATTTTTGGGGTTTAGGTGTGCCCCTCTTCTTGTGCCGTAGCCTGATGAATATTCCTCCTCTCTCCATCTTTGGTCTTCCTCACTCCCTTCTGCTTCTAGGAAGGAATTTCAGTGCTAGAATTGGGAGTTAAACCTTTCATTCTTTCCACATGCTCCACCAATGTTCTTTTTCTGATCTCTTCATTTTGGTGTCTCTCTAGTTTTATTACTCCAACCAGGGGTCCTAGAATCTTCTGATAAATTAATTCTAATCTTTGAAGATCTCTAGTTCTCAAGGTGCAAGTTTCTGATCCAAGCATTAACAATAGCTTTGCTGTTATTCAGTATATTTTAAGCTTTGTCTCTCATTCATTCCAAAGTTTGTTTGTTTTCCATTGATTTTATTGAATTTTGTTTTCCATGACTCTTTGTTTTTGGCCAATTAATTAATTTTCCAAATAATTAAGAGGAAATACTCGTTGTGTAGGACAGCAAAATGTCCAAAGACTGTACGGGAAGGAAATTGTTGCTTACAATTTGAAAATAAATGATATTTCACTCTTTCTTTTTTATTTACTTTTTAGGATAAACATCAATGCAAACATCATGCATTATAAGGTTACAAAACACTTAATAGCTAATGATCTAGACTTTCCAGAATAACAATCCAATGTAAATCTAACCTATATTTTCTCCTTGTCATGTTTCCTTCTTATTTAAACTAAGTTGGATTATGCATCCAGATGCAGATAGCTTAGGGATGGCTCCAAAAACAATTTTGGAAAGGAAGAAGGTGAACCTGTAACCTAATCATAATATTTGTACCACTCTGGAATCAGATGTGATGTGGTAATTTTCAAGAACAATCATCATCCTGAAGGCCAAAAGTGCATTGTTGCTGCCACCATGACACGTGTCTGTCCTTTTCACATCTGCATAGTTTGCGAGTTGTAATTGGGTTTAAAGGTGTTCCAAAATTTTATTTTAGATCTCCCTCTTCCTCTTTTTCCAACTATTTTACATTCTGAAATTGTATTTCAGAATTCATTATGCCTAAAAATGTGTCCATAATAATTTTGCTTTCCTGTTCCAAATGGTTTTCAATAGGGATCTTTTCTCTTTCACTTTTTATGAAATTAAATTGTTCAAATTTTTTTCATTTCTCCAGAAATTTTTTCAAGAATAAATAGAGTAAAATTAGAGAAAAATAATGCATTGCGTAGAGATCCCAACTTCGATTTGCCACTGTACTTGCTACAGTACACTGCATGAAAAATTTAGCATGTCACATACTTTGTTCCCATGAACATGAATGTAAATTTATTATCAACAAGTTGACAACTGCCTTATTCTTCATTCTTGTAAAAACGGGGCAAAATACTTGATATAGTTTTCTGCTAAACAACAATAATGATCAACACCATCCATGGTAGTATCAAATTTGAGATTAGCTTATGAAGATCAATGACTTATTTGCTGATTGCCCTGCTCCATCTCATTATTTTATTTTCAGTCCTTAGGGTGTCAAAATTTGTACCGATTATTACTCACCCACTGTCATTCATCATTCCACCTACTAAAGAATATTTTTCTATCTTTCCATTCAAGTATCAAAAAAACTTTGTATTTCAAACTCAAGAACAGGTCAAATATAATTCAGTTCAAACAAGACATCACACGAAAATAGAACTGAGCATCCAGTATCCTCTTTTGACATTCATCAACAATCAATAATGACCAGTTATGAGGATCTCAATAATAATAATTATTATTATTATACCTTTCAATTTAAATACAAAACCAGCAACTTTGTTCAAATAAATGACATTATTAAGAAATTTATACATAATATACTAAAATATAACTCAGAAAGAACCCTACTACAAATTCCTTTCCTGGAATAAGCAACATTCGTAGAAAAAGAACCACAATAATCAGGACGCCAATAATTTTTTTTAAAAATATCATTACTTATCTTATAAAATAACTTGGAAATGTACACCTTCAAATGAGGATATTAAGAGATTAAACATGCAATAAATTTACAAAATTATTTACCCTTTACATGTGATTGCCTCAAAAATAAGACGGGAGGTGGGGGAATGTGTGTTCCTTCATCGAGACATTTTGCAATTTAGATTTTCTTTTTAATTGTTTCAACATAAACTTTACAATGTAGCATGACTTGAACTATCAAATAATGGGTTAAGCATATTGACAAACATGTGAAAAGTTGCCAGGGTTAGTAAAAGCAAAACATACAAAAAACGGATATGAACATTAATTAGCAAATGTCACACTGCAGGAAATACATGCACAATAAAAAATTGCAAATTAATTCAGCAGACATATCATTGAAAATATGTTTTTTTAGGATCCAAAAATAAGAACTGATTCCTAATGTCCCAAGTTCTTAATTCCTAACAATTGACTTCATAATTTAAAATGAACTTGGAATTATCTTCAAATCATAGACAATCAAATATCTTAAAACTTTCACATTAAATAGCCAACATAATGAAGAATAGATGTGGCTACAACATCCCGTAGCCCAATTGAGATACCATCAGGCAGAAACTAGAAAAACATAAAATAACAACTGGCAGAAAATTAAATCATAAAACAGCACATAAATGAATTAAAGTATCATTTGGTAACACAAAATACATTACAATTATTGTGTGTTTAAATAGGGATATTAAAGTTATACAGGACATTTATTCAAATAACTTAAGATATAAAGTACTGTTAGACAAATGACACAAATAAGTTGTTAGATAATAAATAACAATGAACTTCAAGTCACCAACCAAACATACCAAAATCTCAAGGCAACAATTAGAACTAAGAAAGTGCAAACCAGTAAATTTTTAAAATTAAATTAAAGTAATGAAAAAGTATTAATAAAATACACACAATTTGGATAACTGTGACAAGAGTTCACCTAAGGACACATCAATAAAGACACCTCAAATGAATACACAAATTAAACATTTCAGCAAAAATTATACACTAAATAAATTTCAAAACAGGCTGGAGAGCCATTGCAACAAGGCATGACTTGAGGTCACCACAACACAGAATGCACGTGAGAAAAAAAAGAGGGGAAAGAGGGCAAGAGAAGAGTGGAAAAACTAGTCACAAGTTCATTCCTCAAGAAAAACTAGTTACACGTCCACATTAAAGTGGCTACTTAGGGTGAAAGTGTTCAGATATTCTATTCATTTTCCTATAATCATCACAAAATCTATTATTTTTCCAATTATCTGTATCATTTTGCAGCCTGATGGCTAGTCTTCAATTACAACTGCAGAAAACTCTCTCGTTTTTAAGAACATTTTTTTCATGAAACTTCAATTTTTCCTTTTATATTTTTCAACAAAAGTTTTCAGCGAGTTAAGGATTTTAAAGTCCAGTCCAATGGCAGCTCCAGCAGGGGAAGCAAGCCCCCTTCCAATAATATTATTTTGTAATTTCATTTAAAACAATTACCAAATATTTATCACATAACATCCAAAGGAATAGCATGTTCCAATGAATATAATACACTTTTTTTAGGCTAACAATTATTTAATTTTTTTTAATTACAAAAATACTTAAAAAGGCAGGGCTAATCGATTCAAAATTGGCCCCCCTGAAAGCTTTGCTCCTGGTACAAATTAATTTTATTCACAAAATTACTAGGTAATTATCAAGTGTAGTTCCAGAGGCAAATTTTGGGGAAATTAAAAATGTTTTGGTTGAATATGTCATATTACAGATTTTGTAAAATGTTACAGGTTACACTGAGTTCATGCTGCGATTCGATTGTGTTAATAATTATCTGAAAATATTTCTGGTTGAAAGTGTCATGGGAAGTTAAAATTAACAGTAACTGAAAAATTTTAGGAGGGGAAATTTCCCTCCCCATGGATCCGCACCTGTAATTACTCTGATTCTTTGTGAGAAGTGGTTGTCTCTTCATGTAACAGAAATTGATATTAATGTTAAGAAAAGCAATAAATTGATTCTGTTTTTTGATGAAGCTTTTTTCATGTCTCTAATAATTTGCTTTATGCAGTTAAGCATAACATGCTATGTTTACTAATATAAATTATTAAAGCAAACAATGTAAAAAGAATGCATTGAAATTCAGAATTTTAGCAGTCCTTATATTTTATTTAACACTGCATGTACAGTATTACAATATATAATCTGAAACAAAATTTAATAATAAATTATTAAAAACCATGTCATAAGAATTGTGACAAGTGGTACTCTTCATGTCTTACCTCCATAGGGTGGTGGATAACCCTGCTGATTATTTGGTGGGTAAGACATTATTCAGTAATTCAATTCCTGCAACACAAAGCACAGCTATATCTGCCACTCTTGACATATAATGAATTATGATGAACATGGTTAATCATGTTTTAGAAAATATTATTATACCATCAGTTTACATCTGGGTTTTCAGGAAAGTTTACTTCCTGACTTTTCAGGATATAAGCTAGGGCACCTACACATTGATGTACACTCATAAATAACAATAAATAATAATAGCACTATAAAATACACGGAAATTCATACACCCAAGATGTTATAAACAAAATCTCTGAACCTGTCAAAAATATTAATTACAGAATGTCAAGCTCAGTAACTTACCATTATACACATTTCATATTCCCAAAACCTCCAGTTTGTTAAGGAAGGTCTACGTTTCAACGAAGTGTTTTAAATGAGTATTTTTGGGATTACTCGGCATCTAACAGAACTATATTAGGGCACATCACATCACTTCCAATTTTAAAAACTACCTCAGCTTCCGAGATTTTAAATCAGATCTTTAGAGTATTACGTAAAAGGTGTATGTTTACATACGCAAATATATTTTCAATTTATATCTGGATTATATACTTACGTTCGGCAAAAAAACATGTGGACAATACGTATAGGATAGTATCTTAATTCCACATTAGTGTCACATGACAGTAATACACTGTTGCATTTTTTTGTGTGCCCTTTTGGTGAAAACAATTACATACCTGGATAAATCTGATATTCACTTCAATGATTTAAATGACGTAACTTGGGCCACTCCCACTTAATTATTCATTCTTACTTGCTAACCGAATGCCTGACTTTTCAGGAAGTAAAACGTCATGTGACTGAACATTTCACTTCCGGATTTAGTACTCGAGTCGGCCGGCAGAGCTCGTCGTTGTTCCAGTCGGGCTCGTACGAATGCAAAAATCAGTCTTGTAAGATGGCGACAGCAGTGAAGAAGTGAGCTTGCGATGGCTGAAGATAATCTCATTGTACGCCACAAATTTTGGATATACCTGCCAGTGGACGATCTTGTGACTACATTGTCAGCAGCTTCTTCATCGTAGTGTAGTTTTGTACCAGATTTATTGACTGTAGTGCGCAATATCCAGCCCCGAAGATGAGAGAGTTCAAAGTAGTTGTCCTCGGTTCGGGTGGGGTTGGCAAAAGTGCTCTTACTGTACAATTTGTGTCGGGCTGTTTTATGGAAAAATATGACCCGACAATCGAGGATTTCTACAGGAAAGAAATTGAAGTGGACAATTCTCCGTGTGTCTTGGAAATTCTCGATACAGCTGGAACTGAACAGTTTGCGAGTATGCGCGACCTGTACATAAAGAACGGACAAGGATTTGTTGTGGTATATAGTCTTACAAATCACCAAACATTTCAAGATATCAAATCAATGAAGGAATTGATAACCCGTGTTAAAGGCACCGAACGAGTTCCAATGTTGTTGGTGGCAAACAAAGTGGATCTTGAGCATCAACGTGAGGTGCAGACGATCGACGGCAACGGGCTGGCGCAGATGTGGGGGTGCCCGTTTGTGGAGGCAAGTGCCAAAAACAGGACCAATGTCAACGAAATGTTCGCCGAAATTGTCAGGGAGATGAATTTCAATCCGGAAAAGGAGAAGAAGAGTTACTGCTGCTGCACGGTTCTATAATAGGACTTGTATTAAAATATTTCTGGCCAAGCAGGAGTTGAACAAACCAGGGAACATATTTTTCAACTATTGAGCATGAAAAAAATACTGGATGTAAATTTTAGGGCCTACGTTTCTGCAGTCTGTCATGTAAAGTTGCAGCCAGCTTCTTAGGTGTCAAACCTCTTTTGTTTTACTATTGGATTGTGAATATCTGTATTCTTTTCTTTAGCTTTAAATTTTAGTCAGTTTTGCATGCCCTCTTCACTTATTTTATCTGCACTGTTGAACTTCTGCTTCAGATAATAAGTAGGACCTCCTGTAAAATAACAGTTTTCAGCAGGTCTATCTCAGTTCACATAAAGTGCAATTTTGTTTTACAATCTGACAATTTTGTTCATTATCGTACTGATGCTGGCTTGGGGGTGATATAAAATGACAGAAACAAAGCTTGAGTTAAGTTATCCCTTAAAATTGTTTGTGATATTGCACTGTACCCCCTGCTGTTGGTATTGTTCATAACCTAGTCAAAGAGTTTCTGGCATTCACCAGGTACCACTATTAGTGAGTCAATGTATATTTTGTTACATGGTGCATGAGGGGCAATAGTTGTATATTACAATTTCTCTTGGTATTGCGAGTCGCCAATGTAACTTGGTTCAATTCATGTATGTGCATTGCAAATTGAGAAAAATAGTTAAATGCTGTACATCGATTTAGCTTGGCCTAAATTTGTTTCATAGCAGTTAAAGAGGATGAATACTGTTTTGAGCTGTCAATTTGAGACCAAATAGGAATATCACGCACATTGTATGTAACGTCCTAAATCGTTTGATAGTTGGTGCTGTGTCCTTTTTAAAAATAATTTGCCATATATAATGTTAATGACTGGCTTTTGTGTATATACAGCTATTTTAACACTTTTATTTCCTTGAGAAATACCCTCTACATATTTATGATTACTCAGTGGAACAATTTTATATGATGTGGATACGTTCAAGAAAAGCAGTGTAATATATTCTCCTGCATCGTACATCTGTGGATATGTGTGATGATGGTGAACGCCAGGCCATGAGTGTTCATTGGATGTGCAGGAAGATGGGCAAAGTCATGTGCCGTGTGCAGATGTGTGGTGTGCAAAAAAAAATGTATTGTATTTCAGAGTGTCATATTTGCAAATTACTAGCTGTCATATGTACTTAGTGACAAAGGTGTATTTTTTGTGTGTGGATGTGAGCAAGTGAGCAGGAGTCTCGTCGGACATGTGATATAGATATATATAACACACCTATACAAATATATATGCTGGATTAAAATTGAAGGAATCTATGGATTATCGTATATGCCAGGTACTGTAAAACATATATCATAAAATTCCATCTATTATATATTTGGCATAATGAAAAGAAATTGTGTTGTAAAAATAATCACTGAATTGGGTCCACTTTTGAAAGTGCTTTGTTGGTATTTTCTTCCATGCATGTAGAGTATTCCAAAGTGTGCACCTTTTGTATATATGGATATGTTCGGTCTACCACAAGCTTGCCGTGATTTGCATAGTCCCTACAGTAGAATCGGGCAGTGTTTTACCCACTCGGATGTTTTAAGAAATAAATTTGCTTTGCACCAGTGCAAACGTTACAAAAAAAAATCCGTCTGACGTATTTGGTATCACTTTTGTAAGGAAAGAAAAATAAAAGAATCATATCATTGACAGTAGACGTGGCGCGCGTGCTACGGGGTGGGACGAAGGCATTTTCTTCAGGAGAGAGACAGAAGACAGACCGAACGCGTTCTGGGGAGGGGGGGGAGCAAGGTGCAATTACCGATGAAGCAGGTTGATGAGGCTGCTCAGGCGTGGGGTGGTTGACGAGATGAAAGTAAATTTAAAAAAATGAGTATTGGTATCACAAGTGACCACAGCCCAGGTCTTCCCGCGGGCGGGCGAGTCGGGTCGGCGTTTTCGATCGGCGCGGGGCGAGGAGTGCGGGCGGGCGCGGTGACTGCCCTGGGCGACGGGGCGCTCACCCCGCCGCCGCTGCCGCACGCGTGCGGTCGTTCGTCGCACGCACGCGTGTGTGCACGCGCCCCCGCCCCGAGCGAGAGAGCGTACCGCTCGTCGCGGGCCCCCGGAGCGCCGCTTATGTACACCGGCGTCCGTGGAGACTGCGACGTGCGTACTTTTTCTCGCCTTCTTTGGCACTTGGCGCATTTGTCGAGTTTTACGTTCACTTGACGCCAATTTTGTTTTGTTCTTTAGAGCGGAGACTAATTGTCTTCGTTATTTTAACCTAGTCGCTTGCCTCCAAATAGAGTGAAAATGTTTATTAGCTGCGTTTTAAAATTTTAATCACTTTCTATTGAAGCCATCTTTGAAGGCCGTCGAGCCGTTTTACAAGGTCGTGAGCGCTCAAGTGCCATTACGATATCCCGCCGTCGTGCGCCGATTCGAGTGTGTGACAAGCAGTCTACGCCGAGCGACGTCCGAACGAAGGCAGCGGGCGGTGACAGTTCAGCGCCGAATGTTCGAGAAATTTACGAACCGGTAGTTGAGCCGTACGTTACGGGAACTGCCAGTAGCGTTACGAGGCGAAAAGAGACCGCATCCGCTTACAGAAATCATCGGCCGACGGTCGCGGAGCCTGCCTACCGCGTGCGGTGTGCTCCATCTTGTCGCGCCGAAGATAATCTACGTCGCCGCGACTGACCAGCCCCCGTGGTTGCGTCGCGGGCCGGCCGTAACCAAATGCATTAGCACGTGCTGCTGCCTCGTCTTTCCCGTTACTCGGCGTGGACTGCTTCTCGCGCCCCGCTTACTACGGTCGGCGGCGCGCGCGCGCGGCGTGAACGGCGCGATCGGAATCTTTGGGGATCAGCGGAAAAGAGAGATTTCCTCCCTCGCCCGCCCGCCCGGGTACAGAAGTATATATATAAAAAAAAGAAGCCTACGGTGGAGAGGACAGACGAGACTCGTGCGCCTGTCAGGCTCCCCCTCAACAGCGCGATCAGGCAACACCCGCTACTGGCCTCGCGTCAGGTGACGTCAGCGGCGCAGCTGTAGCTTTGTTCCTTCAGTCAACGTCTCGGGCACTAGACGAGAGGTCAGTTGCCGCATCCGCAGAGGGAGGTGGGGGTGTTTTGGCTCCCAGAATGTTAAGAGTTGGGAAGGGAAACAACTTCGCCTCGCAAACATTTTTAGATTCAGACATACGAACTTTTTTTTTCTTTTTTTTTTTTAATTGGCGATTTTTTGTAGAAAGCAGTCATCCGTGTCACTAGTGTATTTCTTGTAAATTAGTATCCTGACCTGCATTTTTTGAAGGAACAACGTTCTGCCCTGAGCGCAGCGAGCAGCGGGTGTTGAGATAGGCCGCCCATGCAAACCATCCATCGCGCCGCGGCGCGACTTGTGCCGTTCGTTCTTCCAAGTACAAAATTCGCAGGCCCAGCCAACGATCGAGTAGGACGCCATCCTCAGATCCACTCGTGTAGTAGACGCGCTATTCACTACTTGGGACAGGTCGACTTCGCGTACATTTGTAGTAGGACTCTCACCCGCCCCCTCGCACCTTCCTTTTTTTTAACCTGTCGATGTTTCCTTCTTCTCGCGTGCCGGTGCGTTCAACAAGTTCGCTCTCCATTTACTGCAGTAGTGGTTTTCGAGAAAGCTCCAGACGTGCTATTGTTGTCCTTTAAGAGTGTTTGTCGTAAATGTGTTACATTTCACTGTCCATAGATTTAGGGGTCTATCAGTTCACGAGATGTGCGGATCAGGTGCGTGATAAATTGAAGAGAGTTTTAATCGGTGATGTTCACCAGAAACCGGGTCTAAAGCCAACGGTAGGAAAGTTGACGAATTTTTGAAGTTTTCCACCGCCGTTCGCGTCGCCAGGGCCCTGCCTGCAGGCGACCCCACGGGGCGCTCTGCCGCATTTCGTCGGCGCCGTATCCGGTCCCACCGAGAAAAAAAAAATAATAAAAGAGCAAAGGACTTGTTGAACGCGCTGGCCGGCCTCTCGTCCGCGCGCGCGCCCGAGCACGTGGCGTGGGTGGGCGGTGACGCCCCCGCCGCGCCGCGTCGGGCACAGCGCCAGTGCCTTGCGCCTCTTCCGCCTTCGAGTCTACACAGCCCCACCGCCCCGTTCCCAGCCCGCGACGCGTATCGCGCGCAATCTGGGTCGGTTGCCACCTTCTCTCCCTCCCTCCCCCCGCTGTCTTTCTTTCCCACATCGCTCTCCCGCACCGGCGCCCGCCTCCCGCAAATCACCCGCGAAAATTAAAAAAAAAAAAGTAAAATAAAAATGACGTCAGAAGCTTTCTTACTGTATGTGGGGTTTTTTCCTAGTACTCGTCGTCTTGGGAGGATAAACTAAACTGCTTGCAGGTCGCTGTGAGCAAAAACTATTTTAGGAGGATTTTTACATTCGTTTCCAGAGACTGACATCGGCATAGGTTACTTCGTAATTGCATTGATGGAAAAAGTGTTTTTTGTGCATGTTGTCATGGGTTTGGCGTGTGTTACCAATACTGCTCCACTAGAGGAAAAAATATCACTTTACCATTATCCGTATGTACATAAATGAGACATGTATATCATCCTATTATTATCATGTGGACTCATAAATGTGTTACTTTACATAAAACAAAAAAATACATAGATTTTTAAATGTGTAACAAAGGACAGATATGTTTTAATACATGGTTTATACAAAATGTGTGTGCTGTTTTTGTATCGAGCGTTCGAAGTGTTTAAGAAGGGCATTTTTTGACATACCGCTAGGCAAAGCCGAAATGAGATTTTATATAGAAGTTAGAAATTCATGCAACACATTAGTACGTCTTTAATATGGGGTTGCCGTCTCTCGTAGCAATAGAAAGATATTGTATGTCTATGGATTTACAATTAGTTTCCGAGAAAATATTTTTTGAGCTTTACGAGCCTTAGCTTATAATAAAGGATCTTAAATGTATTAAAGTTGATAGTTTTGTAGTTGCATTAACTTTTTATTTAAAACCCAGTT